GGTCTGGAGTCGGTCGATAACGGACGATTACGCCACTGTTTATGTTCGTTCGCGCAGTTTTCGATGAGTCATATCATTCTTAACTTGGACGGAAATTAAATTTGTTACAACGTTGCACTTAGTCTTTCATATTTGTTGTTAGTAATTTAAAAAACATTTGAAACACATACGGAACGATAATAATTTTTAAAAATATAATAACACAAAATGAAAAGGGAACTTGGGTACATTTATCGAGAGCCACAAATAATCCTTCAAAGAGCCGCATGTGGCTCGCGAGCCGCAGGTTGGCCACCCCTGGTCTATAACAATAACTTCAATAAAGTATTTTTTGAAGACATTGCTGATATGTATAATTTGTCATCCTGCGCTGTGAACGGACGAATTATCGTTAGCATATCGAAACTGAAGTTAATGATAAAAGATCTTAACCCTGACATTTCACCTCAGGCGAATATTTAAATGGAAAGTGGATTTGCGGTTCGATAAACTAGAATAGTCATTTTTCAATATTAACGAATTCAATTAATACAGCGTATCGGTTAATACGTATTATGATCACGGGACCAGTGGCGTAGCTAGCATGGGTGGCACCCGGTACGGATATCGTGGTGACCCCAAGAATGAAAACTGTTAATAAAAATCCGATAAACGTAAAGTATGATTTTATTTAATTAATACAAATAAGAGTAATTAATTATCAAGTTACATTATTATGATAATAATAGTATAGTTTTATTCTTTCACATTGATGTATGAAAGTTGGGTATGGCAAAAGAAGAATGAAAGTAGAATTAATATACTCTCATATACATATTATGTACAAACACATAAAAGCTCTTCTTTCTAGCTTTAAGAGTTGCAAACTCGGAAATCACATCTTCAAAATTTATATTTTGTTAATATGCCAAGATTGTTAAGTCTCTTTGGGTCATTGTTGCCCGCAAGTAATTTTTAATTAATTTTAGTTTGCTGAAACTCCTCTCGCACTAAGCAACTGATATGCAAATTGTCAGAAATAATTTTAGTGCGACTATAAGATTCGGAAGAGATTCTGTAAAATTAAATTATTTAATTAATATAGATAACTTGGTTTAAATAGCTTCAAGCCTAAGTGATTTATCGTTGAAAAATATTCTGATGGTTTGTTTAAGTTTTTATATTTTTACGGTGCGGGCCGCCCCGCCGCCCCCTTCTAGCTACACCACTGCATGGGACCACGCTTTATATTAAATTTATATTATGTCGTTTAATATAAAGTACAGTACATACCTACCAGATTCCCTAAAGTCACACGAACCACATTATGATTATGGCGCGTTTATCGATATTTAACGTTAGTCGCAACACGTCAATCACGACAAGTTTCCATACGAACATATTTGAAATTTTTTCGGTTAATGCAAGAAATTTCACAAATAAAAAAAAAACACAATTTTATTTTATTTTATTAATTTTAATATTAAAATTTCCGATAGCCCAAATATATTTTTTTTATTATAAATACTTATTTTTAAAATTTCATCAAAGATAATGAAAGATAGTGAGGTGCAACAATTGTGGCACTTCGATCGTGACCTTAACAAAGTGCTCATGGAACGTGCTATAGGTCTGCCCCTCCTCACTAAAAAAGAATCGCCATTGCGGTTGTTATTCGTCTTGTTTTCAAAATAAATGTAACACGAATTTCTATTTGTGTAGTTAATCATCAGTTAATTACGGTTTTCTACTGAAGCTTCACTCAATTCGTGTGTAATGATTATTTGGAAATGTGACAATCTCTAGAACTTTATTTTCTAAGAAAAGTTTAGAAGTCAAAATTTGGTTAAGAAGATTATCGTATTTTCTTTCATTTGTTTCTTAAGATTCTTAAGTTAAGTCATATTCATTCCGCATATTGAATAATCGCATTTATTTTGGTAAGTATTACGTAGATTGTATGGAATTTTAACTTTAATATTAAAATATTTGGTCAATTTTAATGAATCAATATTTGTTGAGAAATTTTCTAAAACGTGACTCACATTGAATTCTTCATTTCGTTAGTAATTTTTGTATTGGAACTATTAAAACGCTTAATTGTTTTACTCTCACAAGAGATATAAATCATTTAAAAGAATTTCCAAGTAAGTAAGAGTATAAATTATTTAAAAACATATGGAGTAACAATTAAAAAAACTCTCCAAATGTTTGTTTTAATCAATATACAGTATTGTATGTAATAATGAATGATTTATGTGATTTTCATAGGTTTTTACTTATAAAATTATTCTTAGTTCTGTTATGACACTAAAAGATTTCTTAATATTTTATTACCTTTTTCATTTATTGGAAAACTATGCAATAGTTTTAGTAATGCTTTGAAAAATAAATATATTGATTATGTTAACTTAACTTATTCTTTGTGGGTTAATAATAAAATAAACTGTAAACATTTATTGTTAAATAGTTTACTATTTTCTTATCAAATTAATAATGATAAAACTAAACAATGCTTTTAACTCTAACATGAAATGAATAAAAAAGAT